ATGAGGGGGGATTTGGGATTGAAGGGGGTTTGGGCACTGTGGGGAAGCTTGGACATTGAGGGGTCCTTGGGAATGGGGGCTCCTTCGGCGTGAGGGGCCCTTGGGAATGGGGGAATCCTTGGGATCGAGGGATTGGGAATGAGGGGTAACAGGATGGGAGAGTGAACAGGGGGGATCTTGGCTGACAAGGGGTTAAAAGGGATTTCCTTGGGAATGAGGGAGTCCTTGGAATTCAGGAATTGACAGTGAGGGCACCTTTGGCATTGAGGGTGACATATGATTATATGTTTATATATAATATATTATATTAATATAGTAATATTATACTTATAATACTATAATAATTATGGAGTAATTATACTTACAGCTACAATATTATAATGATTATAGAATAATTTTATTTGCACCATGATATAATATATTAACTATATTGTCATTTATAACATTATATTATGTTATGTTATATGTTATGTTATATTATATTATATTTTATTATATTATATTATGCTATATTATGTTATATTATGTTATGTTATATTGTGTTATATTATATTACATTACATTATATAAAATTTATAAATTCTATAATATTAATATTATATTATTAATATGTTCCATTAATATAATGATAATATGGTATCACATATTATAATATAATGGATAATATCCTATAATGTATTACAATATAATAATATAAATAACGCTATCATATTAATAGCAATAATATAATTATAAGACAATAATATTTATTATAAATAATGTAATGTATTTATATTATAATGTGATTATATGCTTATATATAATATACTATATGATATTAATATAGGAATACTGTAATTATAATAATTATGGAGTAATTATACTTACAACTACAATATTATAATGATTAGAGAATAATTTTATTTGTACTATGATATAATATATTAACTATATTGTCATTTATAACATTATATTGTATTATATTATATTGTATTGTATTATATTATATTATATTAATAATGTAAATAACCCTATCATACTAATATTGATAATATCATTATAATATAAAAATATTTATTATAAATAAATAATATAAATTTATTATATTGTAATAGTGTTTTATGGCTATATAGAATATATTACATTATACTAATATAGTGATATTATAATTATAATACTATAATAATTATGGAGTAATTATACTTACAGCTACAATATTATAATGATTATAGAATAATTTTATTTGTACCATGATATAATATATTAACTATATTGTCATATATTATGTTATGTTATATTATGTTAAGTTATATTATATTATGTTATGTTATATTACATTACATTATATTACATTACATTACCTTGTATTATATTGCATTGCATTACATTGCATTACATTACATTGCATTGCATTATATTGCATTCTATTCCATTCTATTACATTATATTATATTACATTACATTACATTACATTACATTACATTACATTACATTACATTATATTATTTATATTATTTATATTATTTATATTATTTATATTGTCATTTGTATCAAGAGGCAGCCACAGCTTCTCTAGGAACCCCTGGCTGGGATGCAATTCCTATCTAAATATACCCCAATTAAATCACACCCTAAATACCCAAACG